CGTTTAGGTATTATAACCTGAATTTGAATCGTGAGACACGTTCTCGATGTCGATGTAACCATAACTTGCCATAACCGTTGAAATTTATCGGTGCTAGACTTTTTATTCGTGATTGTTACTTTCTCGATTCGAGTGGCACAAACTCATATTCATAAAGGACTTTTCGAGTGCCTACTGAAAGAGCTATAGGCAAATAAATATGTGCCGCACCTCGTTCGGATTTACTATCCTTAGCACGTTTTGTAATCATTATTTCAAGTAGGCAATGTAGGCATCTCGGTCGTAAAAATATTCTCAAGATGAGTTCGGACAGTGTGAGAAAAGAGGTGAGGAACCTCATCCAAATTAGGTATAGGTATATTGGGTATACATCACGGTTATCAAAAAAGTGTCCACCATTCTAACAGTATTTTTAACGCTTTTCAGAATGGTACGAGGCAGTGGCGTAACTATTCCGTTCATTTAATGATACATATTTATTGACTTTTTTTCTACGACTACTACTGTAAGTGATGAATATTGTACACAAAAACACAAAACAATGTGTTAATAGATGACTTTGTTTTGTTGCCTAGGCGACTCGATGATGTATCAACTGCAGTTAATGTCAGTAGCTAACCTATCTTTCCACCAAAAAATCAAGTTACCACACGAAACCGAAACCAGGTAGTATAATATTTTTTGGAGATGATTAGTTGATGTTGATATTTCTCAATTTCAGTTAAAAAAATGTCAAGCGATGACAATGAGATTATTTCTGCACTACCAGAAATTCTGGAAAGAGCAGAAACTGCAACAAATGAGTTGTTAACCATGAAGTCTTCTGAAAGGTACGAAATCGCGATATACCCCCTAAGGTAGGTAGGTAGGTACACTTCTGGGTACGCCACTGAATTCACTTAATTATAGTTGACAACCAGCATGACAAAGTCCTCAATAAATTAAATTCATCAATAAATCAACCATTGGATGTACGATTTGATGGGTAACCTCGGAAATATAAGAAGTAACACGTTTACTGCTTCAGCAGCACTTCATCAATCAATTTCATATTTCATTCTCCGGTAATTTTGCATCTATAAACTCACGTTGTACTTCAAAGACACATTTATCTATTAGAATCTACACATACTGCTTTGATTGAAATTCTAGTAAACGTCATTGTCCACCGAAACGCATGTCTTTGATGACTACTATAATAGCGCATGGCGCATGCGTATCATGCCACCAAATCCTTATGGATATTCATTTGTTTCATATTTTTGGCTTCATCCTGGTACCCGTTATGATCCGTATTGTTTATTAATATACGTATATGCAAAAAGTATGTTATTTTCTGCGATTTTTCCATATTTAGTGAACTAAACAATCACAGAAGCTGATGACCATATCAAACACAGCTAGGACATACGTCGCATGCATGCCAAACATACCAGAAATGATTTCTACCTAAGGGATGCATTTACGAACTTTGGGGACCAACGGCATTTGAATGACTTTCACCCACCACCTTCTTGAAATTGAAATGATATAACTCCTTCTTCTTCAAACGTTTTTCCACTTTAATACTAATAGTTTAGAGTAGCTGTTGTGAGATATGAATCCTCAGAACAAATCGGAATTATACTATTCATGCCATATACGTATTAATAAACAATACGGATCATAACGGGTGCCAGGATGAAGCCAAAAATACTCGCAAAAATATGAAACAAATGAATATCCATAAGGATTTGGTGGCATGATACGTAGTCATCAAAGACATGCGTTTCGGTGGACAATGACGCGTTTACTAGCCTTTCAATCAAAGCAGTATGTGTCTGATCGTATCTCACTTTTCCTTATGGATAGTCATTTGTCTTCAAAAATCGGCTTCATGTTTCGCTATGGAAACAGATAGAGATTATCCGTATTGATTATTAATACGTATATGATTCATGCGTTCATCCAAACAATTTTTAGCTGCAAATTCGAGTTGTTGAAAGTGCAAGAATTCATTGCTACCGCAGAGGAGTATATAACTCCTCCTTCTTCAAACTTGTTTCCATTTTAATAGTTTAGAGTAGCTGTTGTGAGATATGAATCATCAGAACAAATCGGAATTATACTATTTATGCGTTCATCCAAACAATTTTTAGCTGCAAATTCGAGTTGTTGAAAGTGCAAGAATTCATTTCTACCGCAGAGGAGTATATAAACTCCTCCTTCTTCAAACTTGGTTTCCACTTCAATAGTTCAGTTCAGACACAGATTAACAAACCTTAAAACCACTTAAAGTAGCTGTTGTGAGATATGAATCATCAGAACAAATCGGAATTATAGTATTTATGCGTTCATCCAAACAATTTTTAGCTGCAAATTCGAGTTGTTGGAAGTGCAAGAATTCATTTCTACCGCAGAGGAGTATATAAACTCCTCCTTCTTCAAACTTGTTTAGTTTAGAGTAGCTGTTGTGAGATATGAATCATCAGAACAAATCGGAATTATAGTATTTATGCGTTCATCCAAACAATTTATAGCTGCAAATTAGAGTTGTTGAAAGTGCAAGAATTCATTTCTACCGCAGAGGAGTACGAAACATCCACAAACAACCACCAACTTTTCGAATTTTAATTTAATTCTTCTTATGTAAGACATTAGGACATTACATTTTTTTGGCGAAGAAGAAAGCAGAATTCGTCAGATTTCTATAATGGATATCGGTGTATTAGTAGAGTCTGTGGAATGCGAACGGTGCAGAAATATGTGTATGGTGGAGGACTCCCTCGAGGACTCCTTACATTATAGATGTACTGAAAATGTAGCAGTACGAAGGGGACATACATTTGACAATTGACATCTCGTATTTTGTAGCGTATGTCTTAGATTTGTTAATTGAGGTCTGGATGTGATTGTTTACTTCATTATATAAGAAAAATCGCCGAAAAAACAAGCTTTTTGTTGATTTTAATAAATAAAATGTGTCATTGAAGTACATCGTGAGTATATTAAGTATCCAGTAATGAAAAAAGAAGGGCAAGTAGTTGCCATGTAGTTGCCAATGTGATCCAAGAAGGGTGGCAAAAGAAGGTGAATAATTATCGAACTTTTTCGTGGAATATCTCGATAAATAGTGGTTTGTTCACAATTTCATTGTGAAATTCGCGAATACGTGAGTAACAAAAAAAAATCGACAACACGAATTTCACAATGAACATGAGAACAAACTGCCATTTATCAAGATATTTTACGAAAAAGTTAGAAATTTCAACTTCTTTTGCCACCCATCTTGGATATTCATTTACAACTACTTGTCCTTCTTTTTCCATCACTAGACACTTTATAGGTACTCACGCCGTACTTCAATCACATTTTATTTCCTAAAATGAACATGAAGTATATGCTTTATTTATAATTTGTTCATTTGCAAATGAGCTAAACAATAGTTTGGATTCTCGCAATTTGCCGTCAGCTGGTGTCTTGGTGTGATTGTTTACCTCACTAAAATATGAAAAAAAATTAAAATAAACCATACTTCTTGTTGATCTTGGAAAATAAAATGTGTTATTGAAGTACAAGTGAGTATATAAATCGTCCAGTGATGGAAAAAGGACAATTTTAGTTGTAAATGAATATCCAAGATGTTGGGTGATGGTGAAATTTCGAACTTTTTCGTAAAATATCTCGATAAATAGGTAGTTTTTTGTTTTTGTTCACATTTTTATTGTGAAATTTTTCATCAGACGAAAATTCGTAAGTACCAAACAAATTTTTCAAAAAAAAAACAACCACATGATAAGGGCACTTTTACCAAAATACGTAAGTACCAAAAAAAATGTTCGAAAAAGAACCCATCGAATGACAAGTGCACTTTTACCGACTCTAGTACACCTCAGTTTGTATTTTCTTCCCGAATGAATCGAAAATGTGGAAAATACTTGCTGTAGGTAACCTAGTTTAACGATATAATCGGAAAAACCAATTGGGTAAAGTACCAGCTATCTTATCAGAAAATATTAACGATCTCATTCGGAGAAATTATCAGTAGACCTATTTGTCACTTTATCACTAATTAGATACCAAGATACCTATCAGATAACTAGGCATTCTTACGATGTTCATAAATAAGCTGAATTTGCAATAGGTACGCGATTGAACTTGAACATTCCACCTACCTGCCAAGTGGTGTTTTGTCTACATTGTAGACCTCGTAAATGGGTTCCTTCTGGATCACGGAAGACAGCACATCGTCTTCGATCTGCAGGAGACCGTCCCTGGAAGTGGTAAATCCCAACATTTTCTTCAAATTTTAGGCACTAATCATTCAAAAACGTCACGAAAACTGAGCCAAACTCGACAGTTCGATTATCTAAAACAACTGCCGTCTGCTGGTCGCTAGTTTTTACCTGGCCACCCCGATACTAAACAGCTGTCTGTTGAAGGTTATGTCGAATGGCCGTATTCAAATGCAATTTTAACGATCGTTTTTAACGAAAAATCGCTCACGGCGAATTTACTCGGTCACAAAATCGTACACCACTTTACATATTAACAAATTTGCGCACGCACTTTCTGTCGATGGCAGAAGCGGCGATAAGATATTGAAGAAAACATAAAACCAGAACACAATCAAGCCCGATACAACGACGAACGCAGCCTGCTATGCTCTACTCTCTACCTAGTCTCCGAAATCTTTTCCAACGGACTGAACTCAGAACTGACAGAACAGGAGATTCCAGCCGTGAACCGAGGCCACTAGAAGAAAGGAAAAAAATCAATTGTGCCGTCGATGGCGGCATCTGACGGTAAACACTCTCTTTACGGACAATATAGAACTAGTATGAAGCACAAAAGATAACTAGAAATAAGAACTAATGGAATGGAAACTGGAATTTGTCTGTTGCTGTCTTGTCGCATTGGCCCACAGTCCCACAGATGGCGCAGGCGCGTAGTAGGAATTGAGTAGGAATATAATATACAGTGACTCTATACAAGTCACTGTAGGAATATAGAAGAGGCAATTTTCGAAATAAAATAAAATGTAATGACAACTTCCTTAAATCTATGTACACTCTGTCACTCTACAAATTCTGCCTAATATCAGGAAAATCACAATACAGTCAGTTCATGGATTGATTACTTCAGCTTTTTTTGAGCACCCATACTGACACCTACAATCATGGCAAGTATAGTCAGCCCTTGTGCTACAACTCTTGTCCTCATCATGTACTGAGACATCTTTCTCTGACCTGTACGGAATGACCAGATGCCATAAACTAAAGCTCCTGCAGTGGCTAAACATCCTGAAAGTGCACAATACAAATGTAAGAGGTATCCAGAATTCCACATCCAGGAATATGACTTTTCATTACATATATTATCCATATTCTTGGGAACACCACTAATAAAAATTATACATGTTGAGTATTCCCATAGTAAAAAAAAATTTATACATGTATCTCTATCTCTTTCACACACAGGTCACTACTGAAACTGAAGTACTTACTAACCTATGTGACTAAAAGAAACAATTTGAAATATAATATATGTAACTAATATTTGATGAAAATCTGTATATTCTACATGATTTGATAAATAAATACCTAAATAAGTACATAAATGAATACATCTATAGTCAGTTCTAGCAAAGGTTCTAGGTTCTACTCACCAATGGGTACAAAAGGATTCTCATTGAATTTTCTAATGAGCTTTTGGTAGGTACTCTCTAGTGGCAGTGCTCTATCCATGTCTTTTCGGAGCGTCAGCCAGTCAAATTTTGCTATATCTTCTTCAGTTAGTTCAGATACTTTAGTTGATACCATTTTCGTTTTCGATTACTTGATGAAACTCTAATTGATTTATATTATAGAAATACAAACAAATTTAGTTTATCTGACAAGGATTGACAGTGTTGACACTTTGACTGTTGACAGTGTTGACATTGTTGATAAAAAGAAGAAGAAGAAGAAGGTCACAAAATCACGTGGAAACCACAGAAAAGTTGAAAAGTAGATTCCACAAAAAACCGACAAAAATCAAATTCGAATTAATTTTGTGTTCTGTGGTGGAAGTAAATGAATTGAAGAAAACTCTGGAATGCTAATAATGTATTACAGTTTTTATTATTCCTCAAATGCCAATGATCTATTAAAAATAAACAGCATAATATCAAAGAGGGTTGAATCGTTGACCAATTTCATTTTTTTTAATGGATTTCCAATGTATGTAATGTGTGTAAAGGCATGACACCTGTTAAATTTGATCACGAATTTGTTAACAAAAACGATGACAAAAATATTTTGTATGTGACAATGATGGAAGTAAGATAATATGGTGTAATTACTGATGCGCTTTTGTTTCAGAAATTTTACTCGACCTCTCGAGAGCAGCGAGAGCAATGGTTCCGTTGATCTTCTAATAGATGGCGACATTGCACAATTATGACGTCTGTCAGTTTTGAAATTGTCGCAGATTTTTCGAATCCAGAGTTGTTTAATTCCACTGTTACATATATCAGATATATGTACCTAAAATGGCATTTTATTTCCACTCGTCACAGCAGCAATAGCAGCATTACCATCTAGCGGGAAAATGTAGAATCAACGTCTCGCTCGTTGTGACGTAGAGAAATCATAGTAGGCCGGTCGAGTGATTTTTCTGAAATTTTCAATACGAAATAATAGCCTATTTCTATTTGGATATTCAGATTGTGTAATAATTCATAGATATGGTTTGTTTATAGTAGGTAGGTACTAACATTTCTTCTTCAATTTTTCAGCAGGGGAAGAGTTGCCATCCAAGGTATCTTGCAATTGAGTGCAAATAGCTGCACAAATTGAAACCAAAACCCAGATTCAATTGATATAGCATGATATACAGTTTCTGTTCATTCCTTGAAGTTGAATTAAAATTTTTAAGGATATATCTCTGATTATTTAGGTACTTGAACATATCCATGACATTTCAAATTGTATCTTGGAAATATTTATTTATAATTTTGCTGCTTGTATGTTTTTATTAAACTGTATTTTATTCATAAGTAACAGTTCTAGTTTTTTTTGTGTTTTTGTAATGATTTTCTTGTAGATTTTCAAAATTCATATTTCAGTTCCACAACTACCTCAATCAACACCTCATTCTTTATTGATGCAATTTCAAAGTTTCACTTTATAATCTTCATTGATTCCTTTTAAAATAGGTACAAGTATGACCTATGGATGACCTATACCTCTTACATAGCAGGTATATATACCTACTCTTCCTCATTGTTAATTCGTTTTTACATGAATGAAAGTTCTTACTGGATTTCAAATTCATTCATAATTGTTAATTTTTATGAAGGTACCTTGTGAAATAATTCAGGGAAAAACAGTATACATGAGAACTGAGAGGAAAAGTATAGTGGTAGATCAAAGGTGGAATTTTCATCATGGTCATAGATAAATCATTTGTTCGGAAATTAATCGGTTAGCAGCATGATTCAACCTATTAGTCATTCATTCGAGACCAGGTGGTTAATCAAGAGTCTTATATTATTATTTTAGCCTGTGTTTAATTTTTTCAAATCGTTAGACTTTCGAAAATAATAGTGCCACTATATCCGTGTTCAATTCTTCATCTTATATCTTGTATACTATATATCTGTTCTCCCTGTATAATTTCATTATCGTCATTAGTCATAGATAAATCATTTGTTCGGAGATTAATCTGTTAGCAGCATGATTCATTCTATTAGTCATTCATTCAACACCAGGTGGTGAATCAAGGCAGTCTTATATTAGATGTCATCACGTACGGTCGACTTTTCTGATCGCAATTGAAAAATACGCGAAAGGAATTATTTATCGTTCCAAACGGAGTGTTCACTTGAAAATGAGTGCAAATATTGTGTTTTTGTGTTCCTCATAATTCAGTGTTTCGTGTTGTTTCATTAAAGCTTCGCATTTATCACGCTGGTGAGTGAATAGAGATTCTCTGTTTTTCCTCATATTTCCCTGTTTATATTTAACTTAATTACCTTATATGTTTTCAAAATGAGAAACGTCTGTTCGTTGAATACTTTCAAGATAATAATTCGAAACGAGCAAACCAGAAGAAAATAAGACGATTCGAAATTTTTTCATGGAAAATACCTTTTTCCTATACAGGGTGTTTCAGATTTGAAGTGTGATATGCATCGATGAAATCAGCTCTTCAGGAAGAATAAAAATACAGGGTATCCTATTTGGAATAACAAAGTTGTTGATGCTTTTTGTTCAAAGCGGCAACAGTGCATTGCTGAAAATATTTTAAATGGAGAGAGCGTATTCTAAAATATGAGCATGCATATTTTCATGAATATATTTTCCCGAATGATTCTCGATATACAGATAGTGTAAGCTCGTATGGTGACATACCCTGTATAGTATATCAGACATAATAATCGTTAAAGTATAACTTGGAAACTCCATGGCCCACTAGCAGAAATTCATCATATTCTGATGTTTAAGTGTTTTTTAGGATTTCTGGAAATCCTATGTATAAAGTTTTATGCGTCGCTTTGAATGGAATGAAATAACGAATTCAACTAAATAATGAAATCCATGTATCTCCAAAATCATAACCCCTAAAGAAATTGAGTACGCCACTGAATTCTCCGAAACTCAGCACTACCTTATTTCTAATAACTTCGTAGAGAAGCCTGGCAGTCTAACCCAAAATGTACAATCAAATCTGAAACACCCTGTATGTCTCCTTATGCATTTTACACTCTTCGAGAAATTTGCTTGCTGTTTTCACTACTTCTGACTGTTAAACTCTTTCAAATCACTAGAGATTTTCGTGAAAATTATATTTTTAGCCTGTGTTTAATTTTTTCAAATCGTTAGACTTTCGAAAATAATAGTGCCAGTATATATCCGTGTTCAATTCTTCATCTTATATCTTGTATACTATATATCTGTTCCCCCTGTATAATTTCATTATCGTCATTAGTCATAGATAAATCATTTGTTCGGAGATAAATCAGTAAGCAGCATGATTCAACCTATTAGTCATTCATTCGAGACCAGGTGGTGAATCAAGACAGTCTTATATTAGATGTCATCACGTACGGTCGACTTTTCGAAAAATACGCGAAAGGAATTATTTATCGTTCCAAACGGAGTGTTCACTTGAAAATGAGTGCAAGTATTTTGTTTTTGTGTTCCTAATACAATAATTCAGTGATTATATTATCGCGATCGTGTGCTGTTCTGGTGTTTCGTGTCACTTCGTGTTGTTTCATCAAAGCTTCGCATTTTTCACCCTGTGAGTAGAGAGAAATTCTCTCAAGTTTTCCTCATATTTCCATCTTTTCTCTTTACTTTCAACTTCATTACCTTTTATATGTTTGAAAATCACAAAGGTACCGCTTGTTGAACATTTTCCGATGAAGGAATACTTTCTTCTGATCTTCAGTTCAGAACTATATTTTTTCAGAAGATAATAATGCGAAATGAGCAAACCAGAAGAAAATAAGACGATTCGAAATTTTCATGGAAATACCTTTATACCTATACAGGGTGTTTCAGATTCAAATGTACATACTATATACCTGCAGATATAGGAAACTTTGGTGGTTCCAATCACCCCCTATCGATGTGTCTACCATGATCTTTTATAACTGATGCGATACAGAACGTAATATTGAATTCGGAAAAATCTGTATAATCGATATTCAATTTATATTATTCATCAAAACTAAATCGGAATCGAATTTAGAATCCAGAACCGCCTTCAGGAAAAACAGAAAACCTCTTCTTTTTCAAAAACAACACTCTATATATCGGAATTTTGTAGATATGTTTTGATATTTGCAAAGAGCGGGAAAACTTATGAATTGGCATACCTCTTAGTAGTGCGCTTTCAATTTGACATTTTTTTAAATATTTTCTGATGAAGATATACTTTTCTTCTGATTTTCGTACTTTCCGTTCAGAACGGTGTTTTTTCAGAAAAGAGCAAACCAGAAGAAAATAAGACAATTCGAGATTATTTCATGAAAACATATTTTTTGCTATACAGGGTGTTTCAGATTCAAATGTACAAACATCGATGTGTCTACCATCTTTTATAACTGTGATACAGAACGTACCTAATCTTGACTTTGACAAAATTTTTATCTGGTCAGCTCATAACTTCTGAATCATGGTGTATAATCGATTCATACTCGATAGGTATATTCAACGACTTTTCAACACTGTGCATCCAATTTGACTTTTTTTATCATCATTTTTCGAAATGGAATTTTTGTTGAACTCCTAATACGAAGTCCAATTTTATCATAAAAAAATGATCAGTTCCAAAGTTCAACTTCATTAGAGTCAAATTAGGTGAACTATCGATAGTTTTCATTCCATAGAATTTGCTTGTTACATTTTCAGCATTTCAAAAAATAATGATAGTTTGAAAGTTATATATATAAATTCTTTTTTTTCAATCTTACTTTCAAGGTCAATATCTCAGAAACGAAGCGCGATATACTTTTTTTTTTAAATGAAGTACCAACATTAGGTATTTTGGCTCACTCTACCAGTCCTATCATTTACAATATTACCTTTCCGGACTCCTGTATAGTTTGCAAATTTTTCCTAAAACCATTTTTCACTCATTTGGGATTGAATCAAAGTTGCCAATAACATTTAGATAGCTGTGGACACAACAGAAATGCAATGGAAACAAAACAGGCATTTTTTGACATCTCTGTCGGTCTTTGACTTGAAATGGGTTATTCAGCAGTGGAAAAATACGAAATTGTATAATTGTTATATTATGAAAATATTGCGGAAACTTCGTCCATGCAGCAAGAATTTAGTCTAAATCGGATTTCTTTTCCAGGTTAACAAGCAAACAGACAGAAAGCAAAGTGTTTGATACTTGCCACTAAGTCGGAATAAACCATTCAGTCAAGA